GATTCGAAAATGTTGATCGACCCGACTGATGCCGAGGGAAAGTTACAGGACTGGACCTTTGGTGGTAATCCCAGTACCTTTGGGAGCTTCTGGATTTGTCAAAATCTGTTGCCCTTTTTACGCCAACCGACAACACTGTGCCGCATCAACGAACCACCAATCGGTTGCGACGTCAATGTATATACTGAGGAGGACTTGGAGTCGAGGTGTGTGACCTTTATACTTGAGCGAGATGTCTACAAGGGGGAAGAACTATTTATTGACTATGGGTTGAATTATGATAGAACTGGATACCGTGCGCCATCACAATAATCTATGAGTCGAGGTGTGTGACCTTTATACTCGAGCGAGATGTCTACAAGGGGGAAGAACTATTTATTGACTATGGGTTGAATTGTGATAGAACTGGATACCGTGCGCCATCACAATAATCTATGAGTCGAGGTGTGTGACCTTTATACTTGAGCGAGATGTCTACAAGGGGAAGAACTATTTATTGACTATGGGTTGAATTATGATAGAACTGGATACCGTGCGCCATCACAATAATCTAAGAAGCGTTGGCTATTCCCTCTGCAACTTCATATAATTTCCTTTCCCCATCTCGAGTGCTGGAGTTCTTCTTCTTCATCATCAATACTAACATCCACCATGGCGCGCGGTCTCATGGCCGAGGGCAGTCGATGGTGCGACAAATCATAATTCTTGTAAACATCAACCAGCCCTCGGTATGATGACTGTCGCTGGCGGTATTTGCCTGGACCCACTGCACCTGCGCCAAGTGCTGGCTCTTCATCATCCAAAGAAAACAGGGAATCCTGAACAATAGCGGAGTGCGTCAATGATGACATTTCGCCACCCGAAAACGTAATGTAGTCGTCACCAGGCATGCCGTCGTCTGAAAAGTAGCGGGGACCCCCATCGTGATTAACGTAGGTTCCATGCCAACCTCCAGTTGCGGAGTGTTTCAAGTCAACGTCAACGTCGTCAAAGGCCCCAACGTACCGTTCAATATGCTTGCTATCGGTTTCGGCGTAATGATCTTTATGGCGTCGCTTGTAGACGAAGCAACCGATAATCAAAAGGATTGCGCACATGACAACAACCACTGCTACGACTCCGCCGTTGCCACCTCCCCCATCACTGCTGCTATTAGCCTCCGGCACGGCCACGATGGGCGTCAATGTAGGAGCGTCCGTGGTGCTTGTGTCGTCAGGAACAGGTTCGTCGGAGACTGGCACGGGAAACTCACCGTCGAGCTTTGTCAAGCGCAACAAAAAGATATCAGTCCAAGCGTCTCCCTCGTCCTTTTTTCGCATAAAGCTCCCATTAGAATTGCCCAACACCAATAGGTCGCCATTTTTATCGACATCTAGCGCTGATAAATGCTCATTGCCAGGTGTTCCGAGTTGTCGAGTCCAAACAAACTGCTGAGTTGTGGTGTTGATTAATCCAACCCAAATATCATCCTGCCCGGCGGAAGTATGTAGCTCATGATTCACGACGGCGCCATCCACTGCGATGCCTCCGACGTACACCCCATCGTCTGTCACCGCACATGCGCGTCCCACTATTTCTGCAACGTCCGCGTTGATCGACAACGGCCCCCATTTAGCATCCAATTGTTTGCCCCACGTAACAGTCAGATCCGGCATTGAGACGCGGAGAACAAAGGCAGTCAAGTCTTCCCTTTGATAATCAACGAGCTCAATATTTCCGTTTGTGGATCCGACGAGATAGATTTCGTCATCCCTGTCCGGATGCTTGCAAATCCTTCGACCCGGGTAATCTTACCGTATTGAGTTTCAATTGTTGTCGATTCGTCACATCACCGGTATTAGCATCCAGAAGAGTAATAAATCCTTCCCAATAATCCGAAATTGAAGTGGAATTGAGTTTTCATTTGATCCGATGGCCGATCCGGCAACCAGAAGAATGTTGGAGGAAGAGAATAAGGCGATTCCAGCAATGTCCACGGGCTTCTGGTTGATCGCAATTTGCTTATTCCATGACCCGGATTCGAATGTAGTAGCTTGGTAGGAGTCAGCGAGGCTCCGTTCTTTCTTACGATTGAACATGATAACGTTTAAAAGGAAATTGGCGCCCCACTTTGGTTGATCCACCAGATTTGGGTTGAGCTCGTTGGGATCGAAGTCTGAATTCTGCTCCGCCACGTCGGATTGTTGCGACACCACGAAGATAGAATTTCCCGTGGGGCTTAGAGCCATAGCTCGTGATGACTGGACAGCAGTGTAGTGCAAGAGACGTCCGCCCAATAATGTTGTTGTCGGCGTGTCGCCTTGGTAATCCACTTCAATGTCGAGGACGGTTCCGTATTGGAGAGAAGTGGTACTTCCGGCCGAACGGAGGGCAGTAAGAAGACCACGTTCTTCCGATTGACCTCCAATGTAGAGCTTTGAACCCAGTTTCGTCAGAGACGAACAGGATTCGTCGACGCTGGTGGTTCCGTAGCGTTCTTTGTACGTAAACCCGCCACTATCCGTGGCTGACGGGAGCGAAATGATCGATAGAAAGCAATCAGAGGTGGTGCTGGCAGTTGCGGTTCCACTGACGTCGAAGAAGGGCGAATACGTTGCCCCGTCACGAAGACCACATCCCTGTCCGCATCGTACGAAATGGCGCCAGCGTAGCTACTACCATCGAAAGTTGTTCTGCCGTTTCTCCGCCAGATTGGATACCAAAAGAGGACGCGGCGTTCACAACGACTAATGTCGTCAAAAGCAATGCAAATGTAAGCAGCATCATCCTTATCATGGTTGTCTCGGTCGGTCACAGTTCACAGTTTAAAGGTCACAATTAACACACGGAAGAGCGCCAGCCCAGTGTTTGTTCTGATCAAACGCATATATACTGCATATCGCAAATATACTTCACAGCTAATCTGTGTCATGTTTTACTCGAGGAGTCATAAATCGCCATATGGGCGACAAGCGAGCCGGTATTCGAGTACCAGGCATACGTACACGTAAAATGTACCAGGGTACAAGTACAAGTACTGTATGCAACGCATACTTTTTGACTTCTGAAAAGTACGCGTCTACTGTAAATCGAGGTCCTACGAAGTACTGTACGTGGTACCTGGTACCAAGTGCACGAAATGTTGATTTGTTGGTACTCCAGTACTATGTACTACGAAATATGAGTATGATACAGTAGAGACTCATGTATGATATATGCTTACTGCATATGATGTACGATATGCTATGCAGGTCAACAAGCGCAATACGAAATACGACGTGCTTCGAGTGTAGGATGTACGGTACCGAAATGTACTGTAGGCGATACTTGCAGTACTGAATACTTAAAACTAAAAACGAGAAACGAGAGCCAACATCATTCGTTGATATCTTCGCCATTCCAATATCGTAATCTTTACATATCACCATGCCTGCTGTTCCCATAGAAATGATCCTCGCGGCGGTGCTTGTTTCGTCTGCTATTTCATTTCTCTCCATAGATGCAAATCCATCACTGTGGTGCTATGACAAGCTCTTTGCGACAGAACGTCGCCTCAAGCGCGCCTTTGGCGGGAAGACGATATGGATTACCGGTGCATCATCCGGCATTGGGGCTGAGCTAGCGCTGCAGTTGTCCGCGTGTGACGCAAACCTAGTTTTATCTGCAAGGAACGAAGAGAAGTTGCATCAGGTGGCATCTCAATGCACAGGCGGTAATGTGCGAGTGATACCGATGGATGTCGACTGTTCTCAAGAAGAAATGGACAAAGTTGTGGAACTAGTTGGACCGATAGATTGTGTTATTCTTAATGCTGGTGTCGGGCAACAAGGCCTCGCCGTGAAGACTTCAAGGGAGGAAACCGAGCGAGTCTTCCGAGTCAACATTTTGTCACCTATCCATTTAACCCAGACGCTACTCAGACAGGCTAAACCCCCTTCTCACTTCGTTGTGACATCGTCGGTTGTGGCCAAGGTGCCAGCGCCACTTTCAGCATCGTACGCTGCCTCAAAGCATGCTGTACAAGGTTACTTCTCATCACTAGCGCTGGAAATGCCGGAACTCCAGATTGATTTGCCGTGCCCTGGACCCATTTCGACATCATTCTTCAATGAACCGTCGAAGACGGAACTCAAAATGGGTGTCTCGCGTTGCGCTCGTTTGATTGTAAGCACCATGCTTGTAGGAGGAGAAACATGGATTGCTCAACAGCCGACACTGATTTTCTTCTATCTGAATCAATTCCTCCCTGGAGTCACCCACCTTCTGTTGAAGAAGTTGCTCGCACCCACCAGACTAGCGTTGTGGGACGCTGGTTTAAATCTGTTTGATCCCGCCTCCATCGGGAAGTTGCGGGCATTAAAGCGGGAGAACCTGATCGAGGCCCAGGTAGATAGGACGAGGTGTACCAGGTACTTTTACCATAACTATCAACGTTTCATCTCTCGAGGAATGTCATTCATTGGATTAAGTTAGACCGGATTAAGTTAGACCTTTTCAAGAATGGTGAGGGAGTACCGAACGAGGTGCTCACAGCTCACAGTATGATACGAGGAGTGTACTCCAGTACATAGCTTTGTACGCCGGAGAAGTACTATTGCAGCCCTGAAATCCTGTCTTGCAGGCTAGACCTACAATTGCCCCAAAAAGTACCGGTATGGATCCGTACCAGGTCCTTGTACAGTACAAGTACCCTCGTACTCGGAGGACCATCGATCGAATTGTCGGATGTGGGCATCTCACGGGAGGCCGTCTGTGTCCCCTTTTCGATCCGGTCAAACGTATATACTGTACTTGTTCCTAATGTAGCTAATACATCACTCTCTATTCCTCTTCACGAATACCACGCTGAGCTGTGTTAGCGCATGTGCATATTTTGTGTGCCCTTATTTTAAAAAGCAAACGCAGAGCGCAGTGTAACATGTAACTCAGATTGTGCTTATATCATATGATTTTTTCATGATAGTTTCTCTCTGGAAAGGGCACATCGACGGTCACCATTGAAATGCCAAAAGGAATAGCATTGCTGACAGAGGGGTTCGAACCCTCGCGGACTAATGTCCAGTAGGTCTTAAGCCTAACGCCTTAGACCACTCGGCCATATCAGCAACGCTAATTAGGCTAATATTTTAGATATTTAAACTTTGCAAACTTTGAGTTAACTCGCCTTTGAAATGTACCTGTTACCTACGTACCAGAGACGGGAATTTCAAACCCAGCCCACCCATACCCACGGCCCACCCAAACCCATTGGGTTGAGGGTGGGTTTTGGGTGAGCTCAGGATTTCATGGGTGGGTCTGGGTGGGCCGGCAAATCATAGCAAAAAATGACAATAGACGTTTGCTACCGGTAGTAGTAGAACCATGTACTCCAGTACTGGCTACTGGGTTTGGGTGGGTTTGGGTAGGTCTCTTGGTAGATCGTATGGGTTCTGGGTGGGTTTGGGCTGGTACTTCCGTGAGCGTAGCTTTACGTTGGTACCCATGGGTTTGATGTTTTCAGAAATTCCCGTCTCTGCTACGTACTATCATACAGATTGTATGCATACAAAGTAGAAGTACCAGGTACCTTGTACTTCACAAGAGAGCAGAACCCATTTTAGGGGGTTCGATTAGAATGCAAGGAAATGACGTCAAGCATGACGTCACAGTACTCACCTTTTCACGTGCTACCTACGGTGATACAGTACTCCAGTAAGGCAGTAACATATGGAGAGCATGCTGATTGGTACGGCTTGAATCTGTGCTGGTACTGCTACTGGTACTGGGCCACGCCCCAACGTGGTACTATAGTACTGTACACCACTACCAGCAATACCTCGATTCTACTTCCATGTCGGCACAGTAAAATGCAAACGTACCCCTCATCGATTAGCAACACCTTTGATCGGGCGGATCATCAAAGAATGTCATTGTAACTGAGTTCTTGCTAACATATACACTGCAACAACTCACATACTACAAGTAGATGACAACCACAACATCAAAAAGTTCCATGTTTGAGAATTCAGACTCTGATATGTTTGTCCTCAACCAGTTGTGACGGAGTTGGAAGGTGATTGGTGATTAGGAACACACTAATGGGAAACTAAATCATGGCACAATCATTGCAATTGTTATTAAAAAAGGTGGTATGTCAGGTTCTTGGTTCAAATATGTCACAGATGAAGGCTGATTGCACAGCATGTCAACCTTCCTCCTCACAAAACAAAACTTCTTCCGTTACTGGCATACTACAGATGCTGCATGAATCTTTTGCAGCAAATGAGAGAGCTTGATAATAAATGAGAACATGGTGTGATCCAGAAATAAAAGTAGAATGGATTGGTGATGATTAGTACCACAACCTGGAGGATTATATATTATTGCTATTGCTTGTTTAAATCAAGAAGCATCAACATAGGACAATTCTGTTTTGATACACCTCCTGCCCTGACATTTCTAAAGGTAATCATCATGTCAAGACGGTTTATCAGACCCCTCTCTATAAAACTGAAAGCCAGTTTATTGACAATTGTGTGAGCACCTTCCTTGAAATGATAGATTTGTTACGTAGATTTGTCATCATGCCGAATGAAACGCAAAAACCTATCTCTAAGAATTTATTGGGTAGCGCCTACAACTAGCATAGCTATACTTTGACTCAAGATGCAGAGACCAGAAAAGCACAAGCTGCTTACTGATACCTATACCACAGTAATCCATTGGACTGTATTGTAATCAGGGCTAAATTGTCTGGCTGATGTCTCAAACCTGCCAATCAAGGCAGTGAGAGATGCACCTGAAGATACTCTTCTATCCAAGTAATTTGCAGACATCAATGACAAACTCCTTGTGAACTGAATCATGGTAATGTTGGAACTCTGGTAGATCCAATTGCGGAAACTAGGATGTGTAATGATGCTAGGACTGGTATCAATCTTGAGGAGAATCAATGAAGAACAAAGTACTATTCTGTTCTTGATACTATCAACTGAAGAAGATTATCCATCAGGACGCTGTCTGCTTCAGGAAGCGTTTGCCTTGGGGTCTTGCCCATCACGTAGAGAGGATTATGGTAAACAGCTGCAATACTTCTGGCGAACACTTGTGCCACAGTTAAGCGATACGTAGGTTGTCTACGGTAGTATGCTTACGGTACGGTACATCAGTACAGTAGCTACCTAGTCAAACGACCATGTCTGAAGCCCAATCGTCTGGCTCACTCACTAGTGTCTATGCGCGCGGAGCGTTTGCCTTAATTAATGCCGTCTATGTCCTTAATTAATGCCATCAAAATTTTGCGATCGTCGTGTACAAAAATTACTCAAGCCTACTTGAAAATGGTGCTCACCATGACGGTCAATATCTCAATATCTTCAGGTGCAATGACAACATGTTTGACTATTAAATTAGGGTTCATGATTCTGCAGATGAGTGTGGTTACGGGCAAGGTGCTCAACAAAGCACCGTTTTCCATTTTTTGTTGAACAAAGAAACACCGTTTTTCCGTTTTCCTCGCAGTCACTGCACTGCCAAGTGGTCTTTGTTTGGCACTCTTTGCAGCGGCCTTGATACCTAAATGTTGTCGGCTGACCATTAATGTTGTTCTTGAAGCGTTTGATAGGGGTCAAATGAGCAAGCACACCCGATTTAGGACTTCCACTTTCAACTGCCTTGATGCACGCCTCTTGTTGAAAAGATCTCCTTGCTGCTGACGACGGTTGCCCCCTGTTATTGTAGTCATTATCAAAAAGCTCTTCTGCAAGCACTGAATAGAACTCTTTCTGATTAAGTGCTCTACCCTGGGTAAAAGCATTGTACACAAGCCAACTGTCAACAACAATCATGGCAAAAATTGAGAGGTTCACGCGTGTTGACCAATTGACAGTTTCAACTTTCTTTTCAATGCGAAGATCGTCCTGCCGTAACCTGTTATGTTTGTCAATTGCACTGCATGTTGAATAGTATATCTCCACAATTTGCGGTTGACTAACGACCAGGTTCACCTTTTGTGGAGGGGCATTTGGCTCGTCACTGACTTGCCTCCAGCGACAGCGAGTATATGGCGTTCCAGCCTGCAGGGATCCTGCAGTTGCGATAAAGTATCGTCGCTCACGATCCATCCACACAAATGATGCAAGCTGAGGATCACCCACATTGGCAGGCATGGCTGTCGTGAGAGCACGGAAGTCACCACGTCGTTCAAGCTCAACACCCGACAAATATGATTTTGGAAAGCCTTTTGTAGCCGTCTTGACGACGCCGATAAATCGAAGGCCGTGCTTGTACAACTCGTTGGCTGCACCGACCGAAGCAAAGTAGGAATCTGCACACACAATTCTGTGAGAACCAAACCAAGGCGAAACCACATTCAACAAGACATTTGTGCCATGCAGTAAGCTAGTTTCGGTTGGAACACCATCATCTTCATCGTTGACCAGGTCAACACCCTTCACCAACTTCAACCGCAACATTACTCCACTCTCACCACAAGCGGCGTTCTGTATTTCACAACCATTCTCGGGCTTTCTATCAATGACTATGTATTGAGGGAGGCCATGATTGATCCAATGACCCCCCTGTCCATACCAACGGCTCATGGACTCATCAACACAAATGCGATCTGAAGGACTGAAGTGGTCTGCTCGGTGGTCGTTGAAGTTTGTCACAAAGTCATCCACCAACTTCCAACGATATGTCTCCGAACATTCTGCGCCCTGCTGAGGTGGCTGGTGACTCCACCTCACACATTCGAAGAGTTCCTCAAACCTGTTCCTTGACATTCCGGTTTGTCCAAAATGTGGTGCCGGCCGATACTTCGATGTTGCAACAGTGTTCCACAGGCTTCTCCTTGACGTGAACTTGAACTTGGTGGTTAGGATAATCACTCCAAAGAACTTTAACATCTCACTGGTATTTGTCTTTGCAAAAGTGTCTGCATCCAGTTGAGTATTTGAAAGTCTCACCATGGCAAGGAGCTGTTTGGGCGGAAACATCAGGAGGAAAAATCAATAGGCGACATGTCGTTTGTCGTTGCTTGACTCCTTCCAGGAATCAATGTCTCACCAACAGGAGTACGAATAGACCATTGACGCCAAGGAACATTGCCATTCAAATGCAATGTAAAGCAATCTGTTGCCCGAAACCATTGAATGCCATGAACATCAGCAACGGGAGGAATAGTTGTCCTCGTTTCGCGACGTTGTGGTGACGACAACCTTACTCCTTCTTGTTGCTGCTGGATAGTGGCTGCTCTAGCAGCACCAGCAGCCTCTTCTGCCCTCTCCACCTCATCATCTGAGCTCTGAAGCTCTGCAAGCATTGTGTCAGCGGTAATGCCCACCACAAGGGCAGTTTCAGCATCATCTGTGGATTGTAGCGTATTCCGATTTTCAGTCACGAGTTCAGTCACTGGTCCATTGCTGTCGCTGTTGATGGCTGCAACATGGCCAGCCTTCACCCTTCTCGAATTTAGCTTTCGCACCTTTTTATCCCTTCCGCCAAGGGTATAAAAGGCCGTGATCTCGGTCGCAATACGCTTGTTGTTGCCATTTCTGATGGTATCAACCTCAGTCACCACTCCGTTCAAGAGCTTCGTTTTTGCATGGCTCCCATATCTTCTCCTGCACTCCGACTCACTCGTGACATGCCACGCTTTTGCATGCACCAGTCCGCCCACCACATATCTGGGATCATTGCTGCTCATTTTCAGAGCAGTACGTCATGAATTGAGAGACGACAAGCAATCTCAATGTTGATGACAAAAATTTCCACGACTGCACCAAAATTCGGAGGGACAAAAAAATTGGTCAGCAAAACTCTTATAACTCGATAACTACGTACACAGGCTGAAAACTGCCTGGTGCCAACCTCCGTATTACTGTTAGCAAGACGCTGCACAAGTTTGGAGTCCAAAGGACCGTAAACTCGTTCAAGTACTAGAAATGCGAGATGTGCAAATATGGCATTTTTTAAGGACAAATGTCCTTAAAAAATGCCGTCGGGCGCATAGACACTAGTGGTTTGTGCGATGTGTGTACTCCAAGTACCAGGTACTTGAAGAGCATTGCAGGCATGAAGGTAATCTACACTATGTGGAGGGGTCGTATATGCTGGCTTTCAGACG